GCCGCGATGAGAGAAAGGTGGTGAGGTGGTGTTGAGGGAGAGAGAATGAGAGAGATAGATGTTGAGGGAGATTGAGAGAATGAGAGAGATTCAGTGAGAGAGAGAGAGAGGTGGTGGCGGCAGCTAGGGTTTGGAATGAGGGAGAAGGTGAATAGGGAGCGAAAAGAAAAATAAAAGGAAAAGAAAAAGAAAAAGAAAAAGAAAAAGAAAAAGGAGTTCCGAGAATTTTTAAATGACGCAATTTCGATCGATCGAAGTACTTTGATCAATTGAAATTTGAACTTCGATCGATCCAACATAGACTTCGATCGATTGAACCTGCCCTTGATCGATCGAAATGGAACTTCAAAAATCTTCAACACATGGAGTTCGATTGATCGAAGTAGGACTTTGATCAATCGAACTTAAGTTCGATCGATCGAAATGTCACTAGCAGTACTCAAAATGCAGAAAATGGCTCTCAAGCCAAATTTTTCAATTCAATTCATATCTAGACAACGCAAAAACATATAAAAACAGAAATGAGGAAGGAATAGGGTTGTCAAACCCTTCAGAATGCACTAGTCTTTAACGTCTCTAGCAAGACGTTGGGCTCTTTTAGCCCAGATCAAAAATCTTATTATGCATCCCCTCCTTGACGGGGTGATGGATTTTTGAATCCCACCCAACAAATTGTTTCCTAAAGAACTTGTTGGATTTGATTCAAAGGAGATTGATGGTCCTTTGTCAATGCAATTTTTGGGCTTCCATGCCCTTTCAACATTTGTTTCCAAAACAACATTCTTTGAAATCAAGTTTGTTTGCAAGCCTTTTGAAATTTTGTTTTCAAGCAAAGACTTAATTTTCTTAAAATCATTCTCAAGACATTTTTTCAAAACACAAATATCTTCATGCTTATCCATTGAACTCGGGGTTGGATTGAATATATTCAATTTCACTTTCATGTAGCCAAATGATATTTTCATTATTCCCGTCCTACAATTGATGTTGGCATTTGCGGTTGCCAAGAAGGGACGGCCAAGGATAAAGGGAATTTGGCTTTTGGGATTTGGAACCGGTTCCGTGTCAATGACAATGAAATCGATCGGGAAAAAGAATTTATCAATTTTAATCAACACATCCTCAATGATACCCCAGGGCTTTTTGATGGATCGATCGGCAAATTGCAAAACTACTGACGTCGGTTTTAAGTCTCCTAAGCCCAATTTGACATATACCGAGTATGGAAGAAGATTAACACTTGCTCCTAAATCAAGATGAGCCCGATTAATGACATGGTCACCAATAATGTAAGAAGTAGTAGGTGAACCGGGGTCTTTAAATTTTGGGATATTGTTGTGTTGCAAAATGGAGCTTACTTGCTCGGTTAAGACCACTTTCTTTGGTGCTTGGCTCTTGTTCTTCCTCTTTTGGGTACAAAGATCTTTCAAGAATTTGGAATGAGCCGGAATTTGCTTAATTACATCCAAGAGTGGAAGATTAATCTTCACTTGCCTAAACACTTCAATTATTTCATTAGTTTTGGTCTTTTGCTTTTCAAGAGAAATGAATCCTTTTAAGGCATCCAGAAATGGAGCTTTTGGCTCAAAAACCTTTTCAAAAACTTTCTTTGAATCATTTTCAACATAAGAATTCTTCAAATCATTGTTTAAATCATTTTTCAAATCATTTTTCACCACTTTCTCAACAAGATGATCATGCACATGCAATGAAGGAGGAATAAAATGTGAAACGGGACGGGTGTCAACTTTTGGGTGCACCGGTTCACTCTCTTCATTGGAAATACTACTTGATTGTCCATAATCTTTCCACTCCTCAAGGTTGTCACCTCATTGACATGTTCAATTGTGGGACTTTCCGATGAAGAATGGGTCTTCACAGCACATTGTTACTTTGGTGGGGCATTTAAAGGCATTTTCCCTTTCTCTCTAGCATTCAAAGTACTCGCTATTTGCCCGACTTGGGTTTCTAGCTTAGCAATGGATTGAGAATGAGAATGAAGCAATTGAGTGTTTGCCTCCAAAGTCCCTAAAGCGGTTAACACTTTTTCCTCAAAAGCGGGACTTCTAGAACTTCCTTGAGAGTAAGATGATTGATTAGGAAAATGAGAATTAGAAAATTGATTTCCATGTGATTGAAAATATGGTCTAAAACCTTAGGATCCTTGGCCTTACATTGGGGGCGGAACATACTTTCCTTGAAAACCACCTTGGGGAGGGTTTGAGCCTTCCCCTTGGCTTTTCCGAGAGAAGTTTGGATGGTTCCTCCACCCGAAATTGTAATGTGTGCCATAAGGATTATTCCCGTGATTAACAAATGTGGCATTAACTTGTTCATGGTGCTCATTTTGCACATGTCCGTGGGGACAATTGGAAGTAGAATGTAAAACACTAGAACAAGTTATGCAAGTTTCATTAGATGAATGATGATGAACATGATTAGGAGAGGAAGACACTTCATTCACCGAAATTTGGTTGATAAAAAATTGATCAAACCTTTGAGATAAAGATTTCACCTTGGCGACTATATCTTTGGAGTTGTCAACTTGATACAAGCCAACATTCTTCCTTCCACCCAAATTTCTACCATTTTTGGAAGACAAGGATTTATGTATTGAATTCTCACTCATCCTTTCATACAATTGCCAAACATCATTTTCATGTTTATCAAGATAAGAACCACCCATAGATGCATCAACCATACCTTTGTGATTATCCGATAAACTTTCAAAAAAATATTGAACTAATTGCCACTAAGGTATGTCATGATGTGGGCACTTCCTAAGCAAATCATTAAATCTTTCCCATGCCTCATGAAACATTTCCCCATCTCCTTGAGAAAATTCTCTAATTGAAGTTCTCATGGCATTGGTCTTTGAAACCGGATAGTACTTTTTCAAGAACTCTTGTTGCATTTCCGCCCAAGAAGTTATCGAAAAAGGCCTAAGATTGTTGAACCAATATTTTGCCTTGTCTTTAAGGGTAAAAGGGAAGAGTTTTAACCTCAAAACATCTTCCGGCATGTCCGTGTATTTTACGGTGGAACATACTTCAAGAAACTCATCCAAATGCTTGTAAGGTTCTTCACTTGGAAGTTCATGGTAGTTAGGAAGCATTTGAATGGTTTGCGGTTTAATCTCATAGTGATGTGTTCTAAATGGGGGCAATTAAATGCAAGTGGGTGCATTATATTCATTTGGCACATAGTGATCACACAAAGCAAGATGAGGATTTACAACTGGTGGTGCTACACTAACACCTTGATTGCCTTGAATAATGGGAGGTTGTGGAGCAAAATTTGGCCGAGGCATTCCTAATGGAACTTGACCTTGTTGTTGTGGATGAATGAATGGTCTGGGCATGCCCAAAGATACTTGGATGTTGTCATGATGCACATTAGGGTGGAGAATACCTTGTTGGTTTATGTGACTAAGGTCCTCCACATGGTCCTCATTATGTTCTTCCATTGATGAAATGGAATGATTAAAATTACCCCTTCCCCTAGAATTACGAACAATGGATTTAAGATTCAAATTAAGTGGGACAAAAGTAGGATTTAATGACCTTCGACCATACATGCACAAACAAAACATAAACAAGCAACAAGCAAGTAACAATCACTTCACCTCCGCAACAAATCAATCAACAAATATCCTCCACATACATTAATCCCATACTCCCATGCTTTCAACAATATGCAAGAAAAATAAATTGCCTCCACGCGGGCTCACGATCTATCTAAGAAAATGAAAAGCTTGCCTCCACGCGGGCCGACGATTTAACTAGAGATCGAGTTAGAAAGAGCTCAAAAAGGGTCCTTAAGCAACTTTAATTGATTTTTCAAATTTTTTTATATATATTTTTTCTTTGCCTTGCTTGCTTCGCAAATTTTATTTTTGAGCTTTTTATGCTCTTGCTTAGCTTCACTTGGCTTCCTTACTTTTTAATTTCCCTTTGTTTCACTCTCTTGGCTCAAGTCACCTAGTCAATAAAAAACAAACACAATAAGTAACCAAAATAAAATAAAAATAAAAATAAAAATAAAAATAAAAATAAGATCAAAAGAGTACTAATTCCTAATTAATTTCCAAATACGACGGTGCCAATCCCCGACAACGGCGCCAAAAACTTGGTGTGGTCGTGGACACAACAAGCCAAAATGATGTGAGTGTGTGGCCAAGTTTTAAATTTATAAAGAGCCACTACTTCCTCTCACTAAAAATATAGCTAGGGTGAGTAGAGATCGTCCCAAGGGAAATGAGGTGTATTTGTGATGGAAATTAATGTCAGGTTAATAGTTCGAATGATCAAAGATTGGGTGATGATTTGATTAAACTACAATGCAATTAAAATTAAAGCAAGTAAATAAAAGCAATCTAGGGAATAGAGTAAAGATATAGGAAAGAGGACTTGGGGCTTTAGAGTTCACCACTAAGTTTGACTTCACTAGACACTAGCAATTGTATATTAATGGAGAAATTAAATTGTAACTTGTGTGGGTGTGTGTGATATCAATTGAAACTAAGCATGGGTGGCAAATAAGTATAGATTGTCTAGCCAATTTAAATGGAAAGTACAACCTATCAAATGAGACCAATTTCCGTTCAATTAAACCACAATTAATACACACATAATTTTCTAGAGACATACACTCTTTGCATTCATAAGTATGGAACATCAAGAAACAAGAATAGATTGTTCACCTATCTAGGAATTTAAAGCAATTATACTACATCTAAGATAGAGACATGAAAATTATGCTAATTAAACTAAAGGTGTGGCACAATCCATCAAAAAACAAGTGTGAACCATCAAATAAATTGCAAAAGTGTTCCATTAGGCATTATGTTTTGATCATATCTAGATTAACACCATCAACACACATAGACATGCATTAATTCCATTAAATCTAGAGAAAAGCACATAAATCATCTATTCTAGCATACATAGACATATGGTTAGAGATAGAGAATCAATTGAAAACATTAAAATCTATACACATCAAGTAGAAACCACAAGATATATATTAATCCAAGATCAAAACATTTGTTACAATTAAATCCCCAAAAATATACAAAATATTAGGTCTAGGAAGCAAACTTAGGGGTTATCTCTAGCCTTAAGTGAATGATTTAGCCACTCATTGTAGTGGTCATGGAACCATCAAGGGCTAGCTTGGAGGTTGGCATCATCATCTTCATCCTTGCTTTCTTTCCAAAACCCTAGTTCTAAAGAGCAAAAGATATTTTTTTCTATATTTTTTTAATATTTTCTCTCTTGGTGTCTCTACAATACTGCTCAATAAATCAATTACATCCTCTTTTGAGTAAGGACCAAGTTAGAATTACAGCCTTTGATTGGAGGAATCTCGCAACTTGCACAAGTTAGGTAGAAAACGACGTGCTCGGGAATTTGACAGCTCACTACTAGCAGCAATTTCGATCGATCGAAGCTGACATGGCACAAAATATCTTCTAGGCTTGATCCCATTGGCTGAGCTGGCACCGCCTTCATTTCGATCGATTGAAGACCACTTCGATCGATCAAAACTTCCCTTCGATCGATCGAAGTTCCCTTGATGTATTTTCTTGGCTTCTTTCCAACTTTGTTCCTTAGCTCCAAAAATGATCTAAATGGCTCTTGTTAGCCTGTTTGAACTTTATTCACCTGAAATAGACAATAACACAAATAAGTATCTAAGACATGAAAGTAAGATAGATGAATGTGTCACACCCCTAATTTTCTAAATAAATTCCTCAATTTATTCAAATCAAAATACATTAGTGTTCTCCCAGGATCTCAAAAGAAAAAAAATACTATCATTTATTAATACAAATCAATTTCCTCAAAATTAAAAACAACATCTCTAAATAATTAAATTAATTTAATTCCTCAACACCAACTCTTCCACCTAAACCCGCAACTATGAATCTAAGCTCATCCTCAGTACCTGAAATTAGAAGGGGGTGAGACGGGGGAAGTCCTAGTAGGAAAAACCATAACAAGGATTTCAAAGAGTTTCATGAAAAATTTGCTTTACAAAAATATACATATACTTTTACACAAAATACATATATGTAATTTTAGCAAAATAATAGTCAATAAAATATTTAAAACAAAATCATCCAGGCCATTCAAGACATGAAGAACCTTACACTGCAAAATAATTCGTCATTGAATCATCAACTCTCTGTCCGAGATGTGTGAGCTCTCGGTTCACAGTGTCTTAAAACTCTCTCTGTTTGTCATCAAATTTTTTTTTCTCTGAATACAAAATTAGTGCATATAATCCCTCAATATATAAGCCAAGTCCACCGACCCTCCAATCAGCCAACAAATATCAAAAATCAAAGTGGGACCCGCCACTACCTCTTTCCTTATCTTATCGGCAACCACTATTTTCTTGTCTTTCCACTCCATCTAATCTTCATTTTTTCTTATTCTATATCATCACTAAAAAAAAAAAAACTATACACATGACTTAGTCAAAAAGCAAAAAGCAAAAAACAAAAAGGCAAAAGCAAAATCAATAATTGCATCACCAAACCAAACCCACCTTTCCTTTTGGTCGGCAGCCTACCTTTTCACACCATACAATATATATAGATAAAACAAAATCAAACCCAATTGTCTACTAGTGGGTCCCACGAAAAAGCCATTAACACAAAAAAATAAATCAATTTTCTTTCTTTCTTCATTTCACACGGTTGATAGCCTTCTCTTCATCAAATACATATATATCATATAGATATATATGAAAAGAAAACCAAAAACCCATTTCTCATCACAAATGGACCAAAAGTCACTGGTCCCGCTCATAACATTACCATTTTTCCTTTAATTTGGCGCCTGAAATCTTCTCATCTCCATCCATTAATATAGTATGAGACCAAAAAAAAATAAACTATAAGTCTCCCATTTAAATAATAAATCACTGAAATTCTAATAGGGTAAATTTCCACTTAAAACAAAATAATCAATTTTGTCAACCAAAAATCATGGAATAAATAAAAATTTCAACTCTTAAAAAAATCCGGGTTGTCACAGAATGGACTAAAATACCTTAGCTTAGGTGCTAAAATGCGTTATATTTGAGCACTTATCATGTCCTGTAGTGTGGTTCCGGATTTGGATGATGCTGATGATGGTTAGTGTGTGAGCCTTTGGGGCAGGATATAGTTCGAGATATTTTAAATGAGTTTCAAGTTGTAATGATGTACCAGTTATGACCGTTATGTATTAAAGTAATGATGTATTTGTAAGACTATATGACTATTCCAAACAGTTTTATTGGATAATGATGTGTATTTTATGAGCAGTTGGGCTATTATGTGTTGGTTTTATTAATAGATTGATGACAAAAAGGGTTTTAGCCTTGTTACTTTAAAGGTTATTTATGTAGTGGTCAGTGTTACCTAGTTGTTTCTATGAATGGAAGGTCTAGATTTTCACTTATAAGGTTCTTCTTTGGGCAGGATGGGACGCGATGTCTTAGAATTCGTTGTCTAGCCCTAGTGTTTTGGGAAGGGGCACTGTTCTCTATTACGTATGGATGTTATATGTATGAGTTACAGATCGAGCTGTTTCATCTCTGTATAATTCCTCTTTCTTGGTATATTGCATGCAAGGTATCGATAGGTGCGTGTTCAGTTTTGTTGCTGGAAATGAACTTGCTCTTCCTTCTTCTTATTTGGTCCTGGCAAGGACATTATTGCCTGTGAGTTTCGTATCTCCACATAGGAATTGTGCGTGTCAGCGTACGGAAGGACTTTATAGAGTTCCCTCTTTTGTTAGCAACCACGGGTAAGGATTTAATCTAGATTGTTTTATTTGTCTCCACGGTAGGAGGTGAAGTCCTTGGTTTTGTGGGACCCGTTTCGTGTGGTTGTGATTGATATAGTATGAGACATGACTTATTTACCAGTGTGTACCTTTTCTTAGGGTCTTGGGGCTAACAGTGGTATTTAGCAATCGTGATGCGGCTTATATATTGAGGAGGGTTAGACCGTGTGTCATGAATTGTGTATCCAGAGTAGATGTAGAGATTGATATGTGTGTATGCTTGAGGATTAGACCTGAAGACAAGAATGATGTTGGTGTTGAGGTCGGACCGACAATGGGAATGGCTCGGCCAACCATTTCTCTGAGTTAATCTTTTCTTAACACAATGTCGGGTCAAAGGTCAACAATCATTGATTTTAGTATGTTTAGTGACAGATACAGTACGGTGTTGTGCGTTGCGTATGTGTGGTTGTGCGATCCCATTTTTGAGTGAGTCTCATTTGGGATAGATGGTATTCTTTATACGTGTTTAGGTGACTTGTCATGGATGGTGGTGTACTTAGTATGGGGTTACGTGTCCAAGGAGTTTCAGTTGTCGGATCAATTGATCCTTGAGTTATGCTGATGGGTTGTTTTCCCGGGTGCCTGATGGTACATTTGATAAGTCGGATGGTGCTCTAGATTGCAGTCGTGGGTGTTCAGCTATGATATAACTATTGAAGACAGTAGTTATTAGAGATGGTTTTAAGGATATCTTTGGGATAGCGAGTGGAGCTCATATGTTGGTTTGTTGAGCGATTTTGTAACCGCTGTATCTCATATGGGTTTCATAATTATAGGAATAGGCTCTATAACCGATACGGGACTCAATGGAGCCATTTTACTTTTATGGGCCTTAGGGCATTTAGTGCGGATTGTGTAAGACACTGTTGGTTGAACCTACCGTGTATGGGATCCAACAGTTTTCTGGTGGGATGTCTCGTGTAGACCGCATTAGTGCGATTTTATGTATCAGATTGGTTTTAACCTAAGTTGAGTGTGGAAGTAGATGGTTGAGTGTCGTGGTGACTTAGATTAAAAGATTCTTTTCATGATGCGTGTCTTCATGTGGGTTGACTGAAGTCGTTAATTATAGATTTAGTATCAACTAGTGGTGTGTTCTGGTTAGAAGGATGATGATCCTAATGGTTTTTAGGGGTCAGGACAAGGTGGAGTCACGGAGTTTGGTTAAGGGCTTATACCTCGTGTGCTTGTAGAAGAAGGTAGAGAGTTTTTGTTTGGCACTGCGGTGCCCTTTTCATTTCGTTAGTTGTAGTGGGGGATGTGATCATGTGTGGCTGTGGTCACTATTCGGTCGAGGTTGCGTTGGGTCACAAGCACAAGGTTGCGAGTAACATGGGACGTGGATTCTTCGTGTTGAGGTTTTCAGTGTGGAGTGTTACGTGGGGTACTCGGAGACGTACTCCATTTTTGTATCCTTTTGTCTTTCTCTTGTAAGATGGGTTGATTTCGGGAACAAAATCCTTTTAAGTTGGGGAGATTGTAGTGTTTTCGATTTTTGCCATTTTTTATTTTTCGGGATTTTTTGTTTTCTCAAAGACATTTTCGTCTTTTCTCATTTTGTGTGCCGGACATTGTGGGGTGCGCCGGGTGTGTCTGAGAGTTAGTTGGGGCATTCAATTGAGTCTAGGACTCTTGGAAATGCACCGGCTAGTATTTCGGCAATTTTTCATTTTTCGGGCTGAAAAGTCCCGTGTGGGACCTGTTGCCGGAATTGTCGAGTATGGGGGTTTTGGTTGGGTCCATTTGTATTTAATGTATTTTATCTAATGTGTTTTATATGGTTATAGCGTAGTTAGTACACAAACATAACTTTTGTGGTGGAAATTAAAAAACAGAAAGATTTTTTTAAAATGGTGGGACCCACCACTTTTTTTTTAATGGCCATAAGGCTATTTAGGCCTCAATTCTCTCTCTCCCGGCACTAGCTCTCTCTCCCTCATTTTTATTCATTTTTTTTTTTCATCAAAATTTCAAATCTTGATTGCTCTTCAATCGTTAGGAGTTTGATTATGGCGTTTGCGGCAAAACGGAGAGCTCGGTGAGATCTACGCATTGATAGGAGTAATTGCTTGTTTGGCCACCTATAGGCTTTTTGAAATTCTATGGATTTTTGGGACTTTTGCATCCATTTGAGGTAGGGGTTTCTAATTCACAAGTTCTTGTACTTTTGTGAATTATTTCTTCTTAAATTATTGCTTAGCATGTTTAATTTATATAAATTCTTGCAAAAGTTGCTTAGATGTTGTATGTGAAATATGTAGTTGTGTGTTAATTGATGTTTTATGATAAAGGATGCTTTTATGAAATATAAATTATGCTTATTATGCTTATCATGCTAGATTAATGTTGAATGAAGGCTTAAAATGTGTATTTTAGAAATTTATTTTGAAAGGCATGTGTGATATTGAATGATGATTTGAAAGGGCATGAATTTCCTATTGACATGGCATTGAAATATATGAGACATCCATAGTACGGCATTGCATTTCATGGCATGACATTGTTTATTTTGGATTTGAAGTTGTTGTTGTATTTTCCTCGGCATAGCATAATCCCGTTGTCTTTATTTCTATGGATTCACGGGGTCACAAGAGGTGTGTCTTAGGCACCACCTATTGAGTAATTTGTTTGGTTGTAGGTGTTGTCGCTTTACCAGCAAGCTAAATTATGTGTAGTGTGGCCAAGTTTGAATTTATAAAGTGCCACTACTACCTCTAACTAGTAATATAGCTGGGGTAAGTAGGGATCGTCCCAAGGGAAAGGAAGTAATATTGATATGGAAAAAATGTTGGATTAGTAGGTCGAGTGATCAAAATGTGATTTGTTGGTTGAGTTAAACTACAAATTAAACTAAACAAATTCAATATAAAACAACTAAAGTAAATAAGGGGTAAAGAATAAGAGAGAGAGAGGTCTTGGGACTTAGAGGTCACCACTAAACATCATTTTCCTAGACACTTAATATACAATAAATGAGGGGGATTATATATTGCAATACTAGTGTGTGTGATTGATTGAATTAACAAGCATGGATGGCTAATTAAGTATACATTGTCTCGACAAACTAGTGAATAGCACAACATATCAAATTAAACCATTATTCCTTCTTTTAAGTTCACAATCCAAACACATCAACAAGCTAGAGAAATATACTACTTGCATTGATAAGCATGAAACATCAAACAATAAGGATGGATTGTCCTCCCATCTAAGAAAGTAAGACAACTACACTACAATTAAGCTAGGGACATGAAAATTAAACTAATTAAACTAAGAAAGAGGTACAATCCATCAAGAAATGAGTATGAACCATCAAACAAACCACAAGAGTATTCCATTAAAGCACCATGCCTTGACCATCACTAGATTTATGTTATTAACACACATAGACATGCATCTATATAGCAAAATCTAGAGATAAACACATGAACATTTGTTTTAGCATACATAGACATATGAATAGAATGAAATGATCAATTGGAAGTATTAAATCACATAAATCATTGTATAAACAAGATTCATATATAAATCAAATGTCAAGACAAGAATTACAAAACAAATTCCCTTAAAATACAAAGCATCAAGGTCTAGGAAGCATGCTTAGGGCTAACTCTAGCCCAATAAGATGTTTAGCCACTCATTGATGTAGTCATCCAACCCTCAAAGGCCATCTCCATGGTAGGAATGATCTTCTTCTCCTTGATGAAAACCCTAGATGAGTGGAAGAACTCCCAAATGGTGTGTATCTCTCAAATCTCTAAGCTCCTCCAACCTTTCATCTCTCTATGGTTCTCCAAGATTGTATATGCTTCTCTTG